TTTAGTTCAACCACACCTGCACCCACACCCTTTCTGAGTATATTGGGGTTTCGTGGAGGATGGAAGTACTTAAAATACCTTAAAAGGTGACCATTGGATAGAGCCCGTCAAGTTCTATCCACTTATGTCATTTTCATGTTTTGGTCCGATGTCTGAGCGAATCCCTGAATTTTGCCTAACTTCGATTTGAATTTTGCCAGAATTTGAACTTTGTTAACTTGATCTGAATTTTGCCCAGGCGAAATTCCAATTTGAATTTTGCCTGTAACATGTATTTATATCTTTTTTCTATTCAGTATTATTCTATCATTGAGTTATGCCGTGTCATCCAGTTTATTTAGTAGTTACTTCTTCTTCTTTTCCTCTGGTCGTAGCTTTTTTTGTTACCCCTTTTGCTTTCAAACCTCTTAGTTTTTTAATAAAATCTTTAAAAATATTTTCAATTTAGTTCATCATGTACAAGAATCAAGGAAAAGGATAATGTTTGTGTAAAATGACAAAAAAGAACAGGAAAAAACCTTAGTTCCATTATTTTAAGTTTGAAAAAGACTTTTAAATCCAGCATGAAGAGTTGTTTGCACTACAAATTTTTTTGGAATCATCAGAAAATTCATCATCTTTAGTTAGTAAATCTTTATTAAAGAAATTGCAATATGAATACAAAAAAAGAAGAACTGTTAAAGACAGATCAAGGAGAGAAATCAATCGAAAATGACATTTCTTGAATTTTTCTCTAGAGGAAATGATATAAATGAAAACAAACATAATGGCGCATTACAGCATAATGAGTCAAATAATTATCTCGAAAAATGACAATCGGCTTGTTATTTAAAAGTCCAAAGTAAATGAAAGATTTCAAATTATATATTATTCTTAAAACAGTATGTTTCACGTTAGTCACTAGTTCATAATTTATTAGTTCGTATTTATGTATATTTGATGTGTTTCTTTAATTTATTATTGATTTTGTATTTGTGTTTGTTTTAATGTCATATATTCTTTAATACGTCGAATTCCTTCATCAATTTCATCATCAGGCAAAGCAAATGTTAAACGTATATAACCTTCACCTTGTGAACCAAAAGCAGTACCAGCTACTACAGCAACGTGTGCATTTTCCATTAAATAATTAGTTAATTCTTGTGAATTCATACCAGTTTTAGTTATATTTGGAAAACAATAAAATGTACCATGTGGTTTATTACATTGAAAGCCTGGAATAGAATTTAATTCATTAACTATTCTATCACGTTTTTTTTGTAATAAAATACGTTTATCTTCAACCCATTGTTGTGGACCTATCATAGCTTCATAAGCAGCTTTTTGTATAAATGATGCAACATTTGTAATAGATTCTTGTAGAAATATTGATAATTTATCAATAATTGGTTTTGGTGCCACTAACCAACCTATTCTGAATCCAGTCATTGCATAAGTTTTAGAAAATGTATCTATAACAATTGTACGATCTTTCATTTCTGGTATAGATGAAATTGATTTATGACATTTATCATCATATGTAATATGTGAAAATATTTCATCAGATATAATTATTATATTTGGATACTTTTGTAAAAATTTTGCTAATTCATCAATATTTTCTATCAAATGACCGTTTGGACGTTGTGGTGTATTAATAATTATAAGTTTAGTATGTGAACTAATTAAATCATTTAATTTTTCTATATCAATTTGCCATGTATCTTTTGTAAGTGGTACATGTTTAATTGTAACACCAGCAAAACGTGCCCAAACTTCATCTGGTGGATAACCAGGATTAGGGAAAATAATTTCATCTCCTTGTTCTAAAAATGATAAAAGACTCATTTGTAATGCATGTTTAGCACCAGCTGTAACTAAAACTTCGTCTAATATAGTTTGTCGTCCACATTTAGTCATTTCTGTTGCAATAGCTTGACGAAGTTCATTTAAACCAGCACCAGGATCATAACGAATATAACCATCTTTTATAGCATTTGTAACAGCATCTACAATATGTGACGGTGGATTAAATTCTGATCCACTATAGTCACCTTTTTCAAAGTGTATAATAGCTTTTCCGGTTTTTATTTCAAGCTCTTTTGCAATATGCATACTAGACCATTGTTTAGGTGATACAAAATGTTTAATTGAACTACTAAATGGATATTGCATAATATAATAAAAAGCAAATTTTAATAATAAGTTTAATTAATCTAAAAATACATATACAAAAATGATTAAAAACAAAATATATAGAAAAGGTTAGTTCAAGTGTGATTCTTTTCCTTGTGCCCTGTGCTTAAAAGAATTAGCTTTAAATTATTTTTAAAGATTTTATTAAAAAATTAAGATGTTCGACAGGAAAAGAGATAACAAAACTAAAGACAAAAAAAGTAAAGAAAATAGAAGAAGAAACAACTAGATGTTACACTGCCGATCGGTCATATATGACGGATATATTCCTGTATGTAGAGAAACGAGAAAGTGAACTAAAACATTAGAGCACTAACGTATAAGGATTCATCAAGTAACACATACAGAGTTCTGTATGCAAGATATATTCGCATATGTGTAGAAAAAATTTTTTCTTCGTTACAGTTTGTTTCTTGGTGCTGTGTCTGTACGTCTACTATGAATCATATCTACTCGTGTTGAAGGAAGATATTAAAACTATAAACGTAGCTGTTAAATCGTCATTATGTAGAATGAAAGCGAATGAACACCTGGGAACGTTCCTTCGTCAGTATGTACAAATCCTGGATCATCCTGGGTTTAACAATGTTTTTCAACTTTTTATTTTCTGAGAAATAAATACTAAGTCATGTGAATATTGTCCTATCAAAATATCTTAAAACAGTCGATCAGAAAATCTAAAAATTTGATTAAGCAGACATCCTGAATACATAGTTTCAGTTCTGGAGTGTCGGAACGTCCTTTTCAGAAAGATATTCACCAAATGGTGCTGTTCCACAAAAAGAAAAGTTGTCAAAACACCACTGAATCCTGAATTTCTCGACTAGGCCAGCGACACCACTCAATCCTGTGACGAAGTCTATTACTGAATCCTGCAATATCGGACTAGCATAAGTATCCTCTGTGGGTTACTTACCGCATGAGGATGTGAGCGATGTGTATTGGTTTGCGGGTTGAGAGGCAACTTTGCGATGTATGCATGATAGAATGGTAGTGTGCTCCTTGTGACGTGGCGTTTTTCTGACAAACGCAGGTTTCGATAGACGAAAAGGAAAATGAATGAAATCAATGATGCATGAAGATGCATGCAATGAGAATAAAGGAGTATTAGCGTCACTGCTGGCTTTGTGATAGAGACTGACGCACGGCGATTACTAATGAATGAAAATTGTCTTTCAGGGGATCTGTAACGTGACCAACATGTGTAACCCAGTTAAACTCTTATCTTTCGCAGTTAAAGAAGAAATGCGTTGTGCGTTGCGCGTTTTTTTCATGTCAAATATAATTTGGCTCATTCGCAATGATTCATTCAGTCGAGTACGGAAAAAATCACACCCCACTTAGTGTTAACATGTAGGCGGGGATTTGGTGAAAAATTGAGTGTAGATTGCAGGAGCCCAATCAAAAATCTTTAGGGTGAGCGTATTGCAGAGAATTGTTTTGTGAGTCGATATTTGCACTGCTCGGCACCTCGGTTGTTGGAAGTGCACACAGCTGCGAACAATTGTGTCATACCAGCAAAAAGGGCTAAATTCTTAGGCATAGAGACATATGTGTTCAGTTACAACGAAACTTCTTCTTTCGAACAGCACAATTGGTTTTCCATGAAAATGTGTATCGATACGAACAGTGATGTTAGCTGATCGTTTTCTCGGTTACGGAAAATTCCCGCCGAGACACCTTGTTCAGAAGGGGCAAATGGAAATTTTATCGACCGTTAATATCTCTAGTTGGAAAACCTTTAAGAGAGAGTCCGTGAGCATATCGACAAAGCTGGCCGAAGGCCAATCGCGATTTCTCGATTTGACTTTATAGAAAAAAAGACCGTTCTGTGGTAGTACTAACCTGAAAATATCAGCCTGATTCATTGCTTTCCTGTTGCGTAGTGAAGCATGCACTGAGAGCCCCTCTGATCGACTCATAAAAAAAAATCACATTTTTCAAGGCACTTTTTTGTCGGTTTCTATTAAAGCGGCTTTGCCGTTTAAGTAGTGTCATATACCAAAAGATAGAGCTCAATTTGCTCTAACAGACCGTATATATCTTACCTCCGTACAAACGTCATAGGATCCGAAAATATGAATACAACAACGGTGACAAAGATATTCGTGATTGACCATGATCATTGTTTTGACAAAAAATAAACAATTTTGAAATATCCCCATTTGCCTTTATAAACCATTAGAAAGCCCGTTTAAAACTGCATCTTTTCATGAAAAACAATTTAGAGAAAAAAGCAGGACATCATTTAATTCTGTCGAACAAAATGCAGTGGTCTACCCAAGAAAATCGTCATCTCCGCTTGAAGTCATCCGATTTTAGTCAACATCGAAAACTAACACCATATTCATGTTCAGGGTGAAAAACTTAGCCGAATAAGCTATACTAGAACTTTTCAACGGGTCTAATGAGTAGTTTTACTGGAGATGTTCCTTACTGGGCAACTACAGGGTGTTACAAAACCATTTCGACGCCCCCCCCCCTCACGACCCCCCTGCCTACCCTGCAACTTAAGAGAGCACCCATGAGATCATCGAGCATCACGCCAGAAACCGAGGCACTCGAGAAATTTTACTTTTTTGATTTGACATGCGCATCTGAATCAGCAATGACTGAAACCTCTCAATCCAAATTTTTAGCGTCTTCGATTGAGTTGTGAAAAGTTAGCCCTATCCAACCAACTTTTGAGTACTGGTCGATTTTCATGAGAAATGACATCCGAAAAGTTGAGACCCTATAACTTGACGCCACATCAACGAAATTTTTAACACAATATACAGGGAGATAGAGCGTCAAAAACGGAACACCACCACATGTTCAGATATCCTATTGCATTCATGGATGCAGTTTAATGTCATACAACAGTAAGAGAAGAACCATAAGATAAAATTGCAGTATCTTTCTCACATTCATCATAAAATGAAGATTGGACGAAGGATAACACAAAAAAGTGCGAAAGAAATATCACAACTCGCCAGCATTTGTATTGAGGCATCAATCGTTGTCCAGAAACATCTGGTCCCACTGTGATATATACATGCCAATAACAAAGCTGTGAGCATGAGTGCTCTGTGTTAGAGGAATTAACGTTCAGCTCCCAAGCAGACAAAAAGTTGTAAAAACGCATTTAAGCGCACAAAAGGGAACCACGATTGTGACTCATTAACGCTCATTAAAAAAGCGCAAGAAAACGCGTTTATTGGCGTTTTCTTTAACTTTCTGGACGTGAGAACGACGAATACTCCAGTTTTTGAGCGTTAAAACGCGCTTTTATTCTAGAATTTAAAAACAATACGTTTTAACGCTCAAAAACTGGAGTTTTCGCTGTTTTCACGTCCAGAAAGTTAAAAAACGCCAATAAACGCGTTTTCTTACGCTTTTTTAATGAGCGTTAATGAGTCACAATCGCGGTTCCTTTTTGTGCATTTCAATGCATTTTTACAAATTTTTGTCTGCTTAGGTTGAAGACACCAGTATATGACCATTCTGTTTTCCATCAGAAGGACGGGGACACATGAGACCCAATTTGGCTCGATGGACTTTTTTTCATGTTATCCAATTGAATCATATGTAGGGTAAAAGAGCGTAATTTGGTGAGTAGGGTGTGGGTGTGGATCTTCTCTTCATTCATACCCACACCCACACCCACACACTGTAAAAAAAAAGGGTACTTTCTGGAACCTCAAAAAAAGGTTCGGTAGATGACAAAAAGTTTGCAAATGTGTTGAAACTTTCAAAAAACGAATAAA